AAACAGTAGCAGTAATAGCAGCAAAATCAACTATCACTGACACCAACAATAAAGAACTCTGTTTTTTATTTATTTATTTATTTTTTTCATTAAAGAAGGATTTATGAAAATTCATCAGCCAGTACCAAAATTATTATTGGAACAGGAAGCACTATGACATTTTTAATTTCTTTCTTGTAACATAAAAAGATGAAAGAAGGATAAACTAAAAAGCTTTTTCAAAAGTATTATTTTGAGTAATACTTTGTGTTTATTTTTATCATAGTAATTAAAGCTGGGAAAAAACATAGATTGAAATTTTTTTCAAGGTATCTGCCTTGTTGTTTGAACAACTTTCAATTATTAAATAGACACAACATTGTCGATAGACAACCAACAGTCCTCTTATTTATTTGCAACTTCTTTTGTCAGTCATCGGCAAATCGAACCAGAAATAAATGAGCATGTAATGCTGACAACAAAAATTTTGAGTTTTTTTTCCAAACAATAATAAACAGAAGCTGATTAACATTATCCTACGTATCAATGTATGTGCTTATGCCTATTCGTATGTTTCGACCTGCCTGTTTTTCTGCTTGAAGAAACCAAAGACGTGAAAGACGTATAAGTCGAGAGCATCGTATGTCTACGGAAAATGCCAGCATCAGCATCGACCATATTACAGCAGGAGTAGCAACAACAACAACAATAACAACGGCAATGCCAACAACAGCAGCAAAAGCAACTGAGAGACTACATAGCTTTCAAACTAAAGAATATGCCCGGTGGGCACAACAGTTTTGAACGATACAACAGCAACAGCAGAGAAAGAAGGAGCAGCGATAGAAGTAACGAGATGAAGAAGCAACAGCCACAAAAAAATTTCAACTTTTACCTCTCTTCATCATCTCTCTGCTATTGTCTGTTATCTGTTATTTCTCCTCTTTCGTCCCTCACAAAATGCTTCTTGCCTGCTAACAGTTTAAACTTCAAAAATTTTTGTTAGAAAAATAATGAGGGTGAAGAATGCGAGTTGGTTTTCAAGAAAACTGCTCCATCTGCAAACACACATAGATACATACGTACAGCATACGCAAATACGTTCACAGAGATAGAAAAATTTTTCTTCATCAAATCAACTGCCCACGGGAACAGCCTATCTTCACTTACATACATATAATCCTTGTCTTTAAATATATCCTCAATTCGCAAGAAAGCGGAGAACATTGAGATTGTAAAGTCGGCAGGCTTTGGCTTTACCTTCTTCTCGTTCAGATAGTCTGTAGCATTGCACCAGTCCTGAGTCGCCGCCTTTAATATATATTTCATATATATATACAACCAACGCTTTCCCTCCCGGTTGAGAACACCACCACCACCACCATTTTTGTTGTATATTTGAAAACAGCAGTAAAAGTCAACTGATTATTGTGCGTGTGTGTTTCAATCCCGAATCTCTTGATTCCAACTTTACTTCATTTTTTTGTGATTAGCTTCAAAGACTAATTTAAACTTCTACCAAAAATGGCCTTGGATTACGAAACCGACCCAGGTTGGCAGTACTTGAGACAGTCGCGTGACCAAATGATTGCGGTAATTTTAACTTTTTTTTGGCCTATTCCATTTATTTTATATAAATTTGAACTCTCTGTTCAACAAAGTTGTCCCACAGAATGACAACAAAAAGCAACAAATCAAAACTGAAAAATAAACTAAAACAAGACTCTTTACAATTAGTCTGGTTTTTAACTGTTTCTGTGATTAAAAACAATTTCCATTTTTCATAAACTTTGACTAAGAACTTCTTCAAAATTTTCTTTCCCCTTCTCAGACTTTCACTTTATTTTTTCCCTCCTGCACCACACCCAGCAGTCGTTGCTTTTGCACTAACAATAACAAGACTATCCTAAAAATCAGTAAAACCGACTAGTTGTAACAGTAATGACAGTAACCGTCCAGGATAATCCGCTCAAATTTAGACTAAGAATTTAGTCAATTTTCTGTTTTTTGACTAAAATGTCAATGAGAATAACGACTGTTTTTTTGTCCAACGGACCCTTAAAATCTTTTTGATCGCATCAACTACAGCAACACTTCGAATATTGAGATACTTTTTTCTTTTTTTTCCACAAATCGTCTACGTGAAGGTCTTTTTTGGTAGATATTCCAAAAGTTTATGTACACTTTACAGTTGCTCAGAAATCTTGAAAGTTCTTTAAAGTTTAGCAAAACTGGATTTACCTGCTTTGGAGATTCATCATTTACTGATAAGTTTAGACTGTCAAAAATCAACAACCACTTTTCTATAATTGCTACTTTTTTTCACTGATTAGATCTATATCAGTAAAAAACTGTTTTTTTCCTTGTTATTATATTACAGAATGCCGTTAACAACATTTTTCCTCTTTCCGTTGCTTTCTTCCTCTATATCATCACAGTAATACGCTGCAAAAGCTATACCGATACGCAGCGATGAGAAAAAATTTCTATACAATTTCAAGAAGAAGGATTCCAGAAGATTGAAATTTTTTTCCCTTCTTTTGTTTAATATCATTTCCACAACACATTGAAAAACAAAAAATGATCTAAAGAGTTACAAGAAACTATTGTAATTGTTAAGAGCTTTCAGCTTATTTTTTGACGTTCTAAAAAACATAAAATTACAAAAACAAAAACTATAGTGTTCAGATCAACCGCGTCATACACATTTTTCCATTGAATTTAGTCTAAAAAAAATACATATATAAGTGTACTAATGTAGAGGAAAGAAACAGCGATGATGATGATGATGACGATGATGATGATGGTGATGATGATGATGACAACGATGATAATAAGAACAGAAAAAAAGTAGAATAAGATAGAAAAATAAAATTTTTCTTGGAAATTATCAGCATATGGTCTACAAAAACTTTTGCTAAATGCTATTGTCAATTTTAGCAAATTTTTTCAACGGCTTTTTCTGCTTTAATCCCTTGTAAATAATCTCACAGTTTTTTTCTATCTTACTCCTCACCATTTTATCATTTGTTCCCTTTTTTTCCTCATCCTTTTCTTCTAAGAATCCAAATATACATTGCTTTTAAGTATACTGCACTACCACTAGTTCAATCGTAACCATACTAAAACTTTTTCCACCCATTTTTTGACTACTTTAATGTCAACACTTAAAAAATGCAAATGATAAGTGAAGAAAGAGAAAAATTTGCAAAACAGAACTTTTGAATGCGAATGACATACTTTTTTATTTTTTTAAACAATAAAAGAAAAAGTAATCAAAAATAAAACAAATGTCACTAAAACAAGACATTTTTGTAATGTATAAATAAGTATATATATTTACACTAAGATATGAGTGAACAACACACTCCCTACGTTCAGCTCAATCACCCCTTCATCGCTTCACTACTCTATCCCTTCCGTTTTCCTTTTTTTGTTACACTGTCTTAATATCCCACAAACAATTTGATCAATTTTAATTTTTTTTTTTTGGAGAGGAAAAAGTTTTTGAAAGCAAATATGAAAAGAATATGAAAATAGGGAGATTGCTTGTTGCTTCACCAAATAAACTGTTATATAACCAGCTGATAAAATTTGTTTTGCCTCTGCAAAAAACGGCCACTATCTGTTTCTGCCCTGCCTCCCCACTCCTTTCGCTCGCTAACTCATTCATTCAAACACTTCTCATCGCTCACTCATCATCCTGACCCTTCACTTATCCCGTTCACTCGTTTATTCTACTCACTTTCAACTTCACTGTCTTATTTCTGTGATCATCAGAAAAAAGATTTTTTTTGTATTTTGAACTCATTAAAGCCCACAGAAAACATCGTAAATTAACAAAATGCTCAAAGAAAAAAAAAA